TGTGACTGTGTTTGTAGCAGACAGTGAACAAGAGAAGACAGAACAATGAGGAGGGAGGAGAATGAATTTCAAATCTGAGGGTCAGTTCAGGCTAAGTTGCAATCAATACCCAGTACACACACTCACGCAAACAAACAAGCAGGAAAGGATAGCTACCTACACACTCCTACACGGTTCCGCTTTAAAACCCGCACCATTCCTTTGTAGATAATGTACACCTACACACTTTCCTTTAATCTTGCTTCAATAATAGTATGGACTCGGCAAACACTGGTTTGTCATCATGTTGCAGAGGGGGACAAAACAAAAAAGCTAACACCAGCTTGAGCAGAATAACACACGAGTAAGTCTCTCTTGTAATCAATAAGTTTATCTAAGTCGCTCACGGGCCTCTTCTGTTGCTCCTCAGTTAACAGTCCATGTCTGAAATTGTGGTTTCACCGGCTGAGTGTAACTTGTGCTTTTATGAACCGACATGCATGATCTTCAAATAAAATGAACTCCCTCCATCACAGTCATTGGCTTCCCTTATTCTGGCTCATAATTATGACAAATGACTAATGATGGCATTAAGGAGCCTGAATATATTCATGTCTTTTTAATCTAAGCAGCTGTGTGCAAAGATTTTAGATGGTAGGCTGCTGTTCTATCTGTCTGTGAGGCCACCGGTAATTCATTTGGATAGGATATGCTCATGAATAAATATGTTGTCTGAGTATGTCTTCAGCCTGCATAACATGTTATCATTGGTTTCTCTTCCACTCATTAACACGCTACGACTGCATGTGCCTGATATGCCCCCTGTCTTTTTTTTCATGAGCAGACTGAATAGATATCTATCTTAATGGCCAATGAAATTAGAAAGTCTAAGTTACGCTGAGTATTTGGGAATGAGATGGTCAAGCAGAGACGGGAACCTTTATGGTGACATAATGGAGAGATCACTGTAAAGCGCAGCAGCCCCACAGTCCCTCATCAGAAATGCACAGCCGCTGTTGCACGATGGGAGGGGGCTACAATCTATAACTTTGTTTCCAGCACGGCTCCATGTATCCATGCGAGCTTTCCGTCCAATGCACAGATTAATACACAAGTCCATACTGACGAACAGGTCATTTGAAGTGATCAAAACTGTAATCACTTGTGCTGTGGCTCAATACCAGTGCCTGCAGACATCCAATAAAACAAAGATCTCCATCAGCACATGTTAACTTTTCTTGCAGGTCAGCCTGCCTGTGATCAATCAGCACAGAAATTAACAGGAGGAAATTTCAATTTTATGTCGGTGTATTGATTACAGAATTGAATCAATTACTGGTGACAATGTAAAACTGAACGGAGCAATCTATACTGTATGTGCTGGAGAGCACAGAAAACCACCTCCTTTATCATTGCCTGGCTGTGATATTGGGCTCAGGGAAATAACATTTGGTGTGGAATGACATTTAACTGTTTAAAGGAGGTCATGCTTCACCCAAGCTTGATCTATAAACAAAGTGATGCAAGGGACTGTTTTGGCCATGCATTCCACATTGTGTGGATTTTGTTTTGCTGACAATGGCTTTGCGGACCAGCAGCACCATATTGTTGTATATATAAAAATAGAAGCAACAACAAAAAATGAAAAAGAACCATCCTTTTGGCATTTACTTTTCATTTTAATAATAAAAACTCTGTTTGCGGAGAAGAACTGACACCCACAAAGGGAAAGCAATTTTTACTTTTTACATGAGCCGAAACCTTGAAAATGTCAGTGTCCCCCATAAGATAATGATACATACATTTTTAACCTTTTGCAAAAAAAAAAATCTAAAACCTGTATTTGAAACAAAGCACTGTTTTATACATGGTAATTATTCTGTCACACTTTTTAAATAAGAAAAAGAAAATTACAGTGAAGGTATGTGTAATGAATAGAACATTTGTCAAAAAAACAAGAATGTTATTTTTTCATTTAAGAACATTTTCTATGTTATTCTGATAATACTGCCACTTATAATAATCATTATATGCTTGTTATGAGTCACTTTCAGAACCAGACATCAGAAACATGTTATCTCTCACTTGTAAAATTCAAACAAATCCCATAGAGTCAAGAGGTACAAAGCATCCTTACAAAACAAAAGGGGCCATGTGACTCCTTTTTTGATTAATGGTTCAATGATCAATAACAAACAGGCCGACCAATGAGAGACAAGCCCCCTTCAAAACAAAAAACAAAATCAATGGTCAATAAATAACAAGGGGATTATATTTGGATCGAAAACATCAAAACATGGCTGCCATGACCATATGAATCAGACACCCTGGGCTTCAGTTATAATCTGTATTGCCTTTGACTAATGAGATGAGGCAGGGATGGGCGGGGGGGCTGTGTGATGTTTGGATGGCTAACAGTAGATGTTTGTGCTGTTCATTTGATGGGGCCACATGCGGCCTTTAGAGAAGGATGACTGATCCTAATCTTTACCCCCTCCACACCACTTGTCCTTAATCTTATCTCATCAGTTTGGCTATTCTAATCTACTTTATGAAAGCTTATCAAACTAATCGTTGCACACAGTGACAGTGCAGTTGGTGAATGAAACCTTATGCGATTGTGACTCAGCAATTGGGGCAAGCAGGGCTGTTTGTATTTAAAGACTAGTCCAAAGAACCTGGGGAAGATTAGTTGGTCAAAGCTCTGACTTCTGGATGATCGCTTATAATTTTGAGTCTGTTGAGTGCTAGTAGTGTGATCAGCGGTTTAGACGAGGTAATAAATTCCAATGACAAGGATCAATCTGTTTTCAGGGGCTGCGTCCTCAAAGCCGTAGCCTCCCCCCTCCCAAAATAAATAAACCTATAAAGATCTAATGGGTTGATTGCAGGAGACAAAAAGAGGGCCCAATTTAAAGTCTTGTAAATCACTTCGACTGGCCGTTTAATTAACTTGCAAATTAATGCACCATGCTGTGTAAATTGTAAGGAAATAAATATTCATGCCGTTAACGAAGGAAAGGGCAAGGACGTATCACAGCCACAAGCAGCAGTGCACGCAATAAACACTTTATTGACATTTTAGAGGCAGATGCTTTACATTTCTTATACTTCACAGGTTATGCAAAAAAAAAAGTCACTCTGCCCCTACTTTTACCTCACGCCACCCCCCACTCTGTTTCCCTTTATCTCCTCTATGTCAGGTCATGCTATCAGACAAGACAAGCTGTCATCCACGTGAAATACTCCTGACAGTGACAATATGATGAGAGATTTAAGCAAAAAGTCAATCCTTCACATCTAAATGACAACTCACTTATGATAGGGTGCAAACTGAAAACTGGATCTTTTGTCACAAAGGTGTGCTCAGTTTTCAAACCTATGTCGTGTTTGTCACCAACAAAAGGGAAATGAAGAGACAGGGAACCCTCCTTATCCTACAGGGAGATATCTGAGCCTCACATGCCGAGGCACCCAGCTCCCTCTGTCTATTTATACCAATATGCCTTCAGTGGCACTTTAAATAAGGCTGAGGGAAACACTGTGGCTCAAATAATACACTAAATAATTATTGTCTGCTCTGCAAATGTGTGAGAAAAGGCAATAGGTCGAACAATGTTGCTGAGTGATGTGAGTCTTCTCACTTCCAACAGTCAGATGCCATATGCCAAGTACATGACCTGGACGGGGCCTTGAAGTCAAGGACAGGGTTATCTGTGGGGAAACTATTAGTTTTCTGCATGTCATCATTACATGACCTGCTGCTTTTTAAATGCTGCCTGGTCGAATATTCCTAAATGGCCATTAACTCTCTGAGAGTGGCAGTATTGGTTTGAATTCCTTCCGAATCCGAGCTGGGCTATATTTAATTTCCCTCTGTTTGCTGCGTTTGACCTGCATACATAACTGCCGGGACACAGTGTACGGCTTGTTTTTCGTCAGTGAAACAGCACCATCCTTCCGCTGAGTTGGAAGAGATGAAGCTCATCCCCACAGGAAGTCGACCGCCTATCAGAGCCTCGCGCTCAGCTCCGAGCTGACTCCCGCATTTCATCATTGCGCGTATCGCCGGTCAATGACGCAGTGAGATCAGGAAAATTTTTGGCGTCATCGTGATCAGTCTTTCGCCTGACCATATATGGCTCTCACGTCCTCGGTTTGCCGAATAGGCTTTTTGAATGCATGGATCGGGCTCTAACTGTGTCACCACGCACGTTTGGCCGTATACTGTCATTATGGTTTATCCCGGCTCCCTGCCTCTGACCGGAGAGTACAAATATAGAGACAGCGCTCAAACGGTTACTGCGCATCTCGGGTGTCCTGACAGCTCCAGGCTCACATAAGCGAAGACAACAGGGTTATGCAATAAAGGGGGCAGAGCATTTGATCTGCTCTGCCATGTTTTCGGCACTTTTAGCCATTGACGTTGATGCGTTGACAAATAACTCCGAGGCAGAACCTCGCTTCGTGTTTATTCGTGAATGTTTATGGCACAGAAGGAATCTCCCACCAAACGCACCAGACTCCAGTAACCTGTTTACCCACTGCTGCTAAAGAATAGCATGACTCCCTTTTTGCCATGTCACAAAATCTTCAAGAGATCGTAAAAAGTTAATTATCAGTAACTTTGTTTGCATTGTTTATTCGTTCAGTGCATTTGATATCTACACATGCGGGCTGCAAAGTGTTAGAATTCGCTCAAATGTTTTAAATGACGCAGATGGAGTCTTTACAGGTCAAGAGCATCTTGTTTGCCTCACTATTTGGGGCTATATCCTTCTAAAAAATCTCTCAAGAAGCCAAACGATGCATCATGGGACCCGCAAGGCTATAAATAAAGCTCCGGTCCTGACTGACTACGCGTAAATGAGTCGGAAGAGGGCAGAGTGATAGTAGGAGGGATTTTTCCTTCTCTCTTTCCTTTGAACGGGGCAGGCTCACTCCGGCATTCATCGCGTTTCCACCAATAAGCCCAATGAGCTCAGTGCGCACCGCCCACTGTCGGCGTGCGTATTTTTTTCCTTCTCCTTTCCCTTCCTTTTTTTTAAGCAGAGCTGGATGTGTAGATCGTCACATGTTGTTTCCTCTCTTCAGTCCGGGCACCAGCAGACATGTGTTGTTTATTGCTCGGCTGTGGAAGAAGAAGGACGTTCGTGCGCCGGCTCTGGAAGGATTAAAAATAAAACGCAGAGTTTCTTCTTCAACTCGAGGAAAGGAAGCGTATAGTGTCTAGAAGTGAAGGACAAGAGAATGGCGAGTCCGCCAAACACGGGAGATCAGTCGTTATTGGCCAGTAATGCGAACAACAACGTCAAGAAATGTGGATATCTGAAGAAGCAGAAACACGGACACAAGCGCTTTTTCGTTTTGAAAGATCCCAGTGAGGGTCTCCCTGCGCGGCTGGAGTATTACGAGAGCGAGAAGAAATGGAAAAACAAATCGGCCGCCAAAAGAGTTATTTCTCTGGACAGCTGTCTGAATATCAGCAAACGAGCGGACGCAAAACACAAACATCTCATCGCGCTTTATACTAAGGATGAGTATTTTGCCGTGGCGGCGGAAAACGAGCAGGAACAGGAGAGCTGGTACCGGGCTCTGACAGATCTGATGGCAGAGGGGAGAGTCTATGACGGCTCCGCGTCCAACTCTGCGTCCTCTCTGGTTGGCTTCGACGAGTCGAGCTACGGTGTAATAACGCCGGTGACCGCCGCCTACAAGGAGGTCTGGCAAGTCAATCTGAAATCCAGGGGCCTGGGACAGAGCCGAAATCTGACCGGGGTGTACAGACTCTGCCTCTCCAGCCGGACTATCAGCTTCGTCAAGCTCAACTCGGACGTCGCCTCGGTCATTTTGCAGCTTATGAACATCCGGAGGTGCGGCCACTCCGACAGCTTTTTCTTCATCGAGGTGGGCCGGTCCGCGGCCACCGGCCCGGGGGAGCTGTGGATGCAGGCGGACGACTCCGTGGTGGCGCAGAATATCCACGAAACTATCCTGGAGGCTATGAAAGCCATGAAGGAGCTGTCGGAGTTCCGTCCGCGCAGCAAAAGCCAGTCGTCTGGCACCAACCCCATCTCTGTGCCCACACGCAGGCACCTGAACAACCTCCCCCCGAGCCAGACCGGGCTCCCCCGCCGGTCGCGCACGGACAGCATGGCCGCCACCTCCCCCGTCAGCAAATGCTCGTCTTGCCGAATACGCACGGCCAGCGAGGGCGACGGCACCATGACGCGCCCAATGTCGGTCACGGGGAGCCCCCTCAGCCCGGGGGTCCACAGGACCCTGCTGAGCAGGTCGCACACCATCACCGCTCGCCCCTCTCTAACATTCGAATCTTCCAGCCTCCAGCACAGGAAGTCCATGTCCATGCCCCTGTCTCATTCCCCGCCTGTGGCCACGGCTTGTCCGAGGAACGGGTCCTCCTGCCCGGACAGCTCGGCCCCCCGCCCATCCAGCTGCAGCGCATCCTTCTCAGGCTCACCCAGCGATGCGGGTTTTATATCGTGTGAGGAGTACGGCTCCAGCCCCGCGGATGCACGGGAACTCCGGTTGCCGCTCACCCTCCGCAGCAACACCCCCGAATCCCTCAAAGCAGACACCCCACCCTCCAGGGACGGCAGCGAGCTTGATGGTTACATGGTAATGGAGCGGCAGAATCAGAATGGTTACCGGCGCTTGTCTGAGCTGGAAAAGGCGTACCGAAAGCGCACGTATTCTCTGACCACCCCCCGCCAGCAGAGGCGCCCCCCCCAGGTGTCCTCGGCCTCTCTGGATGAGTATACTCTCATGAGGGCCACGTACACCAGAGGAAGCCAGTCTTCTATGAGGTGTCATACTGCCTCTCCTAAAGGAAATGCACTGGAGGATTACAGGGATCTTCATAACAGCTCAAACAGTCTCCATGGCGACAGTGGCTACATGCCTATGATGCCTGGCGTGGCACCTCAGACACCAGGGTCCAAGGACGATCCTTACATGCCCATGAGCCCCATGTGTGTTTCTGCTCCGAAGCAGATCATCAACCCGCGCTCACACTCCTCCTCTGCGGGGCTGGCCCCACGCACAGACTCGCCCGGGAGCGTATCTCTCGAGGACAGTGGCTACATGCCCATGTGGTGTGGAAACAAGATGTCAGTAGAGAGCACCGATGGAAAGCCCAACAATGCCGAGTACTTGTACATGTCCCCCGTTGACACTATGGTGTCTCTGACACCTCCCGACTTCATTCTCAGCCCTTCAGGGGATCCCCACCTCCAGAGCAGACCACCCTACTCTTACAGCTCTCTGCCGAGAACACTTAAAGGACAGTCTCAGCGCAATGGGTCATCTGATACAGACCAGTATGTGGTGATGAGTTTACAGAGACAGCGGATTGAAGAGGAGTCCAACTATTGTCCGGTCTCTCCGGGGGAATCCGTGGCCAGCAGCTCTCCAGAAACACCTGGCACGCCATACTCTGTTGCATCCTCTCTTAGGCTGGCTCGCGTAGATGGAGGTCCAGTACACCGCAACAGGGTGTGCCGACCCACTCGCCTGGCTCTCGAATCCTTAAAAACGCTGCCGTGCATGACCGAGCATCCCCTTCCCTCTGAGCCACGTAGCCCTGGCGAGTACATCAACATAGACTTCAATAGCGCTGCCCATACCCAGCTGGCATCCACAGCGTCAGAAGGCTCCGAGTCCTCCGGGAGCTTAGACAGGGGATCCATGACATTCTCAGACTATGCTAACATTGATGTCAGCTCTCCAGTTCTCCAAGGCGGGGGCTCCCCCCCAGGAGGGTGTTTAAAGCACACACCTGAAGTCTCCCAGTCGGACACTCAGGGAAGTGAGGTAGAACGTGAGGAAAAAAGAATAGAGGAGCAGCCAAAGGAAAGGGAGGCTGGAGAGGAATATCCTCTACAACAGCAGGAGAGCCCCGTGAGTCAGCCCGCTCCGGTCAAAGACGACTACACCGAGATGACCTTTGGCCCCCCTGCCCCATTACCTGTTCACTGTGCCGCTGATGCTGCTCCCCTCCCCACCAGCCCCACTGCATGTGTCAAGAGACTCAGCCTGGAGAGCAGCATAGTGGATGTTGTGCCCCCTGTGCCTGTGGACTCTTTCCTCCTTGGGGGTCCCTCATTATCGGTCACAATTGTGGATCCAAACAGGGGGGCCAAAGTGATCCGGGCTGACCCTCAGGGGCGACGGCGCCACAGCTCTGAGACCTTCTCCTCCACCACCACTGTCACACCTGTCTGCCCCTCGTTCGCCCATGACACCAAACGACACAGCTCGGCCTCGGTGGAAAACGTGTCCCGCTCTGTTCTCAGCTCCGAGGGACCAGAAGAGGACTCTGGCATACCCATGTGCAGGGAAACCTCAGCTGGTTATCAGAACGGACTCAACTACATTGCCTTAAACTTGATGGAGGGAAACCTGGGTGGATGCCGGTACGGGGGCTGTGATGAACTTCTGAGGTTCAAGACAACCTGCGGCTGCAAGGACGGGCTGAACGGCTTCAACACGAGCCCGTACGCCAGCATGGGCTTCAAGGAGACTACCACCGCTGCTGTGAAAGGTGAGTTTCCATACCTGTCACGTGGTCATTGAGTTGGTTTTCATTCACAAAGGGAGTGGTGTTCGGCTAGAGTAGGATACAGATATGCTTTACTGGGACATAGATAAGCCACGCAGGGTATTTCAAAAGGTTTTTGCAACTTCTCATTGTGGAAATTGCCCAACAGAGAGCTGTCATCTTCAGTAGACTCTGTCTGCTGTCTTTATAGGGATCCTTCTTGCCGCTTGTTGATAGCTGACATATAGCCAGTGTGCTATTTATCTCAACAGCTCTTTCACAACCTTGTAATTGACTGAAAAACTTCTTGTCTTGGGGAATCCTGTGCAATGAACACATCCGTCAGCTGGATCCATTTTACTCCTAACAGTGACATGTAAACACGGGCTACAGGAGCTCAGAGACATAAAGTAGTTATTAGCATTGCTTTTTGGGTGTGTGGGCTGATGTTTAAGAAGGATTAGTGCACGACCCGTCACACCCATGACCCTGAAGAATCTCAAGGCTGCGCGATGCTGACAAAGGTCTCTCTATGGGTTTGGAAATGCAAACTGGAAACGACCATGTTTCTTTCAAAATGAAAGCTTAGCACCAGAGAGTTAATGAGAAGCTCCGAGGGTCCTCAGCAGCTGAATGACGCCAGCACTCAGCACGGCGTGCTGCTCTCTCTCCTGCTCTTTGGGGAGGGGGGAATGGTTTTCTCTTTATTACGATGCATTTAATGCTGCAGTCTTACTTTGAAACTGCTTTTCGTGGTTCTGTTCTTTCTGGCTTGATGCTTCTGTTGTGTGTTTGTGTGAATGGTCTGTTCTGATCTCCCTCAGTGACGCAGTTTTGTACCACGTCAGCATTTGGAGCAAAAAAAAAAAAATCTAATCTGATTCACTGACGCACTCTGCACTATGTGTTTGGCCTCTTTTACGATCAGCTAGAACAGTTAAAACCACATGTTTTGATGAATGGATTAGAAGATAATAAAAGCTGTTTTACAGAAGCTGATATGTGAATCTGAGAAAGTGGTGAAATCTCTGTGAGTGGAGGGAAGGAGCTGTTCCACCAAAATATTACCTTTCACCTCGTTTGGTTCAGTGTTGCATCAGCGAGTTTTCACGCATTAGTAAATGGCAGGGATTATTTACAGAGACGGATGACTCGGCAGGGGCATGTCAGAAGTCGCTGTTGCCCGAAAAGAATAAAAGAAACAAAACATCTTGCCGGGGTTATTGTGAGTCAGACGTCTGTGTTCCTGATGGTGAAATACAAGAGTTTAATTAGTGTTTGTGCTTTCACAACCAAGTTGTCTCCGCGTCTCGGTCTCAGCTAGCCCATGCTGTGAACGCAGCCAGTGTGGGGCTTGGTGCAAGTCATCGGGTTCCCCAGAAAAACAAGTGAGTCAGTTGTTTATCAGTTGTCAGGTACTGGGTTTCAGGACTGGAATGTGGGCAGTGTGCAAAGGTTGCTGGGAGAGGTGAATGCTCATTTGTTTTTCTAACCTGGCTGGACTTAGATGGGTGGGTGGGTGGGGGGGGGGGGGGGGGATCTTTTTTTTCCACTGTGAGCCACTTCACAAACACGTCAGTGAAGTTCTTTTTTTTTTTATTCTGAGAAAATAACAACATTTGTTCTGAACGAGCTACAAACACACCGCACATAACCGGCCCATTATTGTCAGAGAAAAAACTGATATTTGATCCCGAGTGGAAACATTTGTCCACGGCTACGTGAGGAGGAGGAAAAAGGGAGGTGAAAGAACATCGATGATGGATGGATTACTTGTTTTGTTTTTCCTGTACAACAAAATAGACAATTGAACGGTTGGCTGAGGGGAGGCAGAAAGTGTAGAGGAGGAATGGAGGGGTAGGAAAGGCTGAAAGAGAAAGCAAGCACGGGGAAACTTCAGATCAGGGTCAGTCACGTTGGAGGTGGATGGCTTTTGCCATAAAGAACACTGCATTCCTGTTTTTTTGTTTGTGTGCAGAGAGGAAAAGAGGGCACGCCTGTTTACTACAAGATGACAGGCCTTACCACATTCTCTGCTAATCTCTTGAGAGAACCATAGTTTGCATTCCAGCAATTGCATGAAGTACAGTAGGACCTCACCTGTTTTTCGGTATGTCAAGTCACAGTGTGAAGGAAACATGGAGAGGGAGGAATATGTCATAGATATGTAAACAACAGGCCCGTGGGCATATAGATTTTTACATGTGGCATGTTTGAGTCCATCACTTTCACGTTTTCAAATTCCTGTCAGCATTCAAAGGTAGCATTACATGTTTGTTATTTCACATCTGTTTTGCACGTGTTTTAAAAAATTTCCTTGAACCTCCTCCTATGTGTATCAAACTTAAAGTATCTGAAAGCCTATACAATGAGTTTGCCCCTCTAAGGAGGCCATTTTTTTAGATACGTAACCTAAATAACTTTTTCAAGTTTAAGTCGTCAAGAATAATTTGACAAAAAAGATGGAGACACATCAGTCTGTTTCAACAGTCTTGTGTCTGTACTTGATATTACTGGAAGTATTTATTTCTGTGTTTGGGATGAAAAAAGTGGGCGTGTGCTCTGTTTTTACAGGGTTTCTTTATTGCCTTTGCTTGTTCTCATCCAATCCTTCATTTCTTTTGGCAGCCTGTGAGCCTCTTTATCATCCCCATGTCATTTTCTTTTCTCATTTCTGTCTTCATTTATCTAATGTTTGTCTTTCTGACTCAAAGCAGTCCTGCATGGTTGCAGATAGAGAAGTAAACTGACTCACGCTCTCCATTTGTTGGCCTGGGCTACCCGCCCCCCCCCCCCCCCCCCCCCCCCTCCCCCCCCCCCCCTGTTTTGCGTGCGGCCCCCCCCCCCCCCCCCCCCCCCAGAACACACCAAACACACTCACAGACATGTTTTAACTCTACCATGTGCGCACATATGCAGCCATCAGCAGATGGTGTGGGGTAAGGAAAGGGGGGTAACGGGGTCAGGGGTTTTTTGCACCTGCCCCGCCAAGCAGTGCTCACTGGTTATCTGGCCCCTCAGAGGAGAGTGACAATACGGCAATGACTGGCCACCATCTGCCACCACAACAACGGGGAGAGGGTGTGTGTGTGTGTGTGTGTGTGTGTGTGTGTGGTGGCGGTGGTGTTGGTGGGGGGCAAGCAGTTCCAAGAAGCCGGCCTAAAACCCTTCCCCCCTCTCCTCTCCTCCTGTGCATCCTCCTCCCCCCATATCCCCCTTTTCTTCTCTCCAGACGCTGGTTTCTGTTTTCCAGAAGCCATGTGACTTGGCCCTCCCTTTCCCCCCTTCACACACTCAGACACACACCTTCTCCACATCAGTGCCTTTAAGTGTTGTGTTTTTCCTGCTTTTTAATCACAGCAGATCATCATCCGAATGGCTTCTCACACCAAAGGCTACGGTCAATTTGCCTGGATTGAAAAAAAAAAGGCATATTATTATGTGCCGGTAGGAAGACGAGATGTATTGATGACTTCCATTTTGAATACATGTCCATTGTCCTTTAAGTAGCCAAGTTGGGCTCATTGATATTAGGTATATTTTAAAATGTATATCATGAGCGCAGTAAAATTGACACATCGCCATGGTGTTAAGAATATTTTCTGCGCACTATTTTGGGCGCCTTGATCACACACAGTAATCTGTAAACAGGCATTGTCTATCCTCACCTGTCCCGAATGTCGCTCCCCTGCAAACACACGCACGCGGCGCTCCTGGCAGCCTGATACATAACTCTTTGAGCAAAGTAGGGCGGGATGTTCCAGCACTAGATCAAAACAAAGTTAACCTCCCGTATCCTCAATTTAGCTCAGAGGTAAAACGGATTACACTCACGTCAGGATTAGACATTGTTCAGTAGCTTGTTTTTCGACAGGTAAAGCAGAGACGGAGCCTCTGTGGGTGACATAAGTCCACCCTCCAACATGCTCAATACGCAGAGTGTAGTTTAGGTCAAGCACGACAGCTCTTCATAGTCTTCTCAGACTTTGTGCTGCTCTGCTGTATGAAATGCCTCTCCAGAGGGATGCAGATAACACATTAGGCTTAAATAAAAAGAAGAAAACAGACACATTTAAAGCACATTGGCTAATAGTAAGTAATCAGTTTTGTGCCCAATGATTAAGCACTGTGTGAGATTTGTTTCTTTCTTTGGTCTTAACCAGCTTTAGACCTCTCTGGAAAGTAAATGTTTCAATGGATCAGCTTTTGCTTTGTTTTAACAACAACAAGATAACATAAAAAAAAGAGAAGGATACACAGGGAAGGCATCGATCAGTTCATCTGATAGCGGCGTAATAGTGAGTCAGCAGGTTGACTGAGCTCAGTGTGGTTGTTGTTTTTGTTTTGCTGGTCTCACTGAGGTGTGGGAGGTCAGAGGTGTTTGCCAGTGTTTGTTTGGTAGAGAACTGCTGTAGATCAGGGAGGAGCCGGCAGAACGGGAATGTAAACAGAGCAGATCTGAGCCCGCTGATCCTTCAGTGTCAATTTCCAGTTTCCGCCCGTCGAAAACCAGTTCTCCTTCCTCTCGCTCTTTTGCCTGATTTTGATTAGTTCCGTCCGAATGCCAGGGTCACTCAGCTGAGGAGCTGCAGGAAAGAGCTCGACTAGGTGGTTCATCTACAAACACCCAGACTTGTTTACATCTGAGGAGCAAGAGTGGAAGCGGCTTATGCGTAACTCTGTTCATGTGTCCCAGCTCTGAATGGAGCAGGGCTAATTTTAGCATGAGAGAACTAAATAAATAATGAATAGAGCCTGTGTGTGTGTGTGTGTGTGTGTGTGTGTGTGTGTGATTCCTGTGTGTGTGTGTGACTGTGTGTGTGGGTTTGCACAGGGGGGGAGCAGACATTTGGGCTGCAGGGAGGGGAGGAGGGTGTGTGTGCATGTGCTCAGAAAAAAAAAGAGGAGGGGTAGAAGGCAATGGGTTCATTCCTCCCGCTGTACCTCTGTCCCCTCCTTTCAATAACATCCCCCCTCCCCAAATCTTCCTGCCCACCCAGACTTTTCTCCGATGGGCTTGTGCTTGAATAACAGCATGTGTGGCCGGTCCCCGTGCACCAGGGTGCCCGCTCGCAGTCCGGCCGGTGAGGAGAGAAGTAGTGATCGTCGGCTTTTTTTTTTGTTTGCGGCTACACCTTGTTGCTGATCTGAGCTGTTGATGATTCACGGGCTGCTTCCCGGCAGATCTCTGTCGTTCTCACCCAAGTGCCTGCCTCTACAGGCCGCCGACTGGCCCGGCCCCTCCAGAAACAACCCCCCCCACCCTCACACACACACACATTCGGATTGTTATGGTCTGCCGGTCCCATGACCTCACTGCATTCCCGTTCCTCTCTGTCAGGTTGATTCTGTTACTGTGGTTTTTCCACCACTTCCCACCCCAGTGCTCTCCTTCTTCTTCTGCGTCCGTCGCCTTTGCCGATGAGGCAGCGGCACGGCCAGCACAGGTGGCCCTGGCAATCAAATCAATTATTCTATTATTCAAATGAGCTCAGCGGGGTCCAGATCTATGCGTCTCCAGCACCCCCAGCTTTCATGTTTTTTCCATCACTCTGGCCATCAATAGTGTCCGGGCCAGTGACGCTTTAGGATCAATATTAGCAACCGTATCTTCATCTGGTGAGAGTGAGTTTAGGGCAAAGATGGGGAACAGAAGCGTGTGTTGTGTATGTGTGTGTGTGTTTATGGTGGGAATAGTTGAGGAAGGGGTGGATTGGGGGAGTGGGGGCGGGGGCGGCGGTGGAGGAGGAGGTAAAGTGAGGATTCTGAATGAGAGGTTTGTTTCAGAGAATGACGATCACATTCAGCTTTGTGAAAACAGCTCTTGTTCACGGCCAGGAAGAAGGAGAGGAGACAGCGAGTGAGGGAAGAAATGCAGCCGCTGTGTGTGCATGGGCGCTTGTGTATGCGAGTGTGTGTTTGTGTCAGCCAGCCAAGACTTCCGCTCCCATTCGATAGCTCCGCATGCAAATGAAACCTCGCAAACATGTACACAGGGGCAAGGGTCAGCACAGCTTTCCACTGGGAGAGAAGCCACACTCCGCAGACTCTTGAGTTCATGGTATTTGAAAGCGCATAGCTGTGGCATGTCCGAATGTGTGCCTGTGCGTGCGTGTGGGAGCGGTGGAGAGTACCTGTGTGTGTTTGTGACACTGTTGGAGACAGTCTCTGTTTCAGCTGTGCGCCGCTAAATGCCACGCTGTTTTTTTTCTGCTGCAATGAAGCCACCTGCCTCTTCACTGTCTACCAGCTGAGGAAACACACACACACACACACACACACACGCGCAAACACACACAAAAGCAGACCCTTGAAGAGCATTTATTCCTTACTTGGTAATGGGGAACGAGGACAGCAGCTCTGCCTTGATTTCCTCTCTGATGTGTGGGTTCATTTGCTTTGTTTTGTGTTTTTTATCCAGGTGACCAAATAAAATCTTATGTTTACATTCGGTTTCATATCACACAATTCCAAGACCAGAAACTCACCTGCGATTGTTTTTGTTTTTGTCCCCTTTCAGAATGAAGACTGATGGACGCTCCTTCCTCTCCTCCCCCCTCCTCCCCCCTCCATCTCCTGTGAAAGTAGGATTTCACAGCAGCCAGATGACAAGGTCGCCACGGCAACAGCTGGACCCTGTGCTGCAGCCAGTGTCCCTTGACCTCTTCGCTGCCTCTGCGGGGGTCACAGGGATGGCCGTCACCATGGAAACAAGGACACTTGACCTTTGCCCCAAATGTCGCCTCCTTTTTCTTGGCACCCAAACACTCAGGTGCCATTGCTGCTGTAGTTCTAGATGGAAAAGAATAACACAAAAAGAACTTAATAGACTTTTAACTCTAACACTAGATGGGTGACAATGTGTGTCTGTACGTAGGCCTTCAGATACTTCTGCAGTATGTTATGTTTATTCCTCTTACCATTGTGATCATCTCCACACTTTTTGTTGGCTTTCTTTCGGCTGCAGCCAGCAGATGCCAGATATTCTCACCTGAAAACCTGTGAACCAAACCTCGAAAGCATGCGTACACGCAAAAAAACAAACAAACATACAAAACAAAAACCTTTTTATGCATACTGATTACATGTATTTATTTATTTATCGTGTATGTATGCATCAAATGTGTATGAGAATTTGTATACAAGATTGTACTGCAAAAAAGAGACGGCATTTATTAACATATTTAAAAGTAAGATTTGCTTAGAAACCCTACCTCAGCACCAAGTCACATGGTAAAAATATATATAAGATATTTATTTTCAGAGGAGAATTTTTTTTTATTTTTTTTTTAATTCATTAATCCAAAGCCTTACTCTAGCCATCAGCCTCCATCTGATGGACCCACCTAGTTTGGACCTTTAAAAACACAGTATCAAAGATTTATCCGATCATCTTAAAGACTGAATGTCTTGCCGATAGAGAGACAGCCTCTCTGAGATTAAGTTCCCTTTCTTCCCACATGAATGGCAAGATTATGTATTGATATCCCAGAGTAATATATTTATTCATATACCTCAGATGGAGCATTCATATACACACTAAAATAGTATCAAGAGGACCTTAAAGGCGTAGTTGACATTGAATAACAAACATGTGCAGCTGTTACAGGTCCAAATACTGCAGCAGAGCCAGGTCCAAGTGGACCAGATCATCAAACCTGTCTGAGCCCAAGTCTCAGTCTTTGTTCCCTTTACCGCCTGTGATATCGTGCACACAGCCTGCAGAATGTTGTGACCTGTCGGGATTAGGGACAGGAACCTGAATGTTTGAAGTTGTGTACACAGAGAAACTGGACAGCCCAGTATCTTATTTTATCTCACCTGATGCCTCACTGCAGAGCTCAGGCACCGAGCAGTGTGGCGCATGGCGGAGCTGCAGGATTCAGTCTGAGCGGCTCTTAGATTAGCTCGCTGATAGCTCGAATCCACGGACTCCGCCACAGAGTCTTGCATTTACAAACTTTCCAGATTGTAACACAAGACACGTTGAATGTAGTACATGTTGTGTTCTGAGCTTGAGAACACAGAAACTAACACACCCAAAATCTCAACAACAGTCAAACACCATGAGGTACTGAATGGGAACCACAACAAAGATACAAGCCGAATTAAAGAAACAAACCAAGGGAAGTATCTTCTTATTTATCTGAACTCACAGGTACTTAACCTTTGCCTATATACTGTAAATAGTGTGGAGAATTACATCTGAGCAGATGCTGAGAAACCTTCAGAGGTGTTAAGTTAAATAACTTATGTTTGTACTGTACATAATATGTGTTTGAGTGAACTTTCTCATACAACAGAAGCACTAATTAAGTTATATGCTAACCAGTAAGGATGGGCTTTGGTTTTTTTAAACTGTCATGGGATAGTCTTGCAAAATAGATGCCACTATGAGGACATTTTCTAATGCTGTAATTCTGAGAAATTTTTTAAAAGAGATCATTAATACTTGACACAATTACTTCTTGATACTTAGGTACAAAAAAATGGCATATATGCAATATTTACACCTTTGAGAATTAGTTTACAAAGACGTACCAAATGTAGAAATACTGTTAATAATGTTTGTGAAAAATGAAATCAATTTTTTGCTGTTTGTACATTTTTTCCTTCAATTTTGAAATGAAAACCTTTTTCTGCTTGTTTTTTTTCTTTTTCTTTTTTTTGGTAATGGAAACTCTTGGTGTTTTGAGAATTGTTTTGCATTGGGATAATGTTTCAAGTTTTTATTCAGCATCTAAAGGTTACAATATGGGCTATGGCTTACCTTACTGTGTCTGTCATTGTAAATATTTCATATCATGCACATTGTGATGCTACTAAGAAATGATAATTTAAACTTAGCTTATTGCTTTAGATTGTATTGATTCTTTATAGACACATGCAATAAATAATGATATTTAAGAAAAATACATGGATCTGTCACGGTTTTTGTTCTTCTCACCATCACAAAGAACTCGCATCTCACATGAACTGGCCTTCACCGGGGAAAATCACAACTGAGGGATTTCATTTTTCCACTGAATAAGAACACTGAGAGGAGTGATTGCATCTCTTTTGTCTATTGTTGTAAAGCCTTAGTTTCTGTTGTAAAAGACTACATCGAATATTGGGTGTTTACATGGCCAACTCTGCATTAGCATTAGGAATGTAATTGTTTTTGCATCCCAGTCCCAACCCCCAGTGACAGTAATTAGACCTGCATGTTGAATCAACCCCTGTCACCGGGAGGGAATAAATAACAGCGATAAGGTAATGATTTTTACCCACAGCCCTAGACTTAGATGATCAGATAATTTGGTTTTGCGAATTTGCTAATCTAGAAAAAGGACATTAATAGTTAGGAATACATCTTATTATCCTGCACGGCTCGTTAAAGAAGGCGGGGTTCCAGGCTTTTGTGTAAAAACAGGAGAGGGGGATTGCATGTTTGTACTTAAGGTATTTAAGAGGCAAGGATGAGTCAGAAAGGGGTTGTTTTGAACATCTGGAGAGAGGGGTCATGTTGCAGTGACATGTGCAGGTTGACTGACAGACTTAAAGGCAGAATGATAGCCTGGAGGTAGATCTACCTTCAGCAGATGTCCCAGCAGCATGCATGGACGCTAATGAGAGAATAAAGTCCTCGGGAGGAAAGCGTCCCATAAAGCAAATGCATTATAGCTCCGTTCATCGCACCAGTGCGCACTCTTGCTTTGGTCACACCTAAAGCTTAATTGAGTACCGGTAATCGTTTTTTTCTAGGTAAGTAGCAAAAAGAGAGATTTTCAAGCTCAAGGCCTTTGTGTAAGCATCCAGTTTTGAAAATATCAAGAGTAGCACAGAAGGACTTCCTTTCATGAATATGTGCTGACTGTGTCAAACATAAAAGACGGTACTTGAGCCTGTCCTCTGACAAAAGCAGTTTGACGAAACATGCAAATTCCGGTTGCAGTAAGATAATGCAAAGTCGATGGATAAGCTTCTCTCCATTTATCTTTGTGTGAGTTCATGTATGCATTCACATGAGTGCGTTTATGTGTCAGCTGGGTTGGGGGGCATGCAGGAATCAATAGGTCCATATGAGTAGCATGAAGTAGCCAGTTGCCCCCAGGGAGTCATCAGACTTATGGACAGGGACTACTACCTCCAAAGGAAATGGTATGCTTCCGGAAAGCAGTCTGGGACACCACATTAGAAGTGGTACGTGTGTGTGTGTCTGTGTGTGTGTGCTTGTGTGTGACTTTAAAAGCTAGAAGGCTTTGTGGTCATTTGTGGATGTATCCTCTTCCCTATCTCTCAGCCACTCAAAAGAATCTGTCTTTGGTGGGATGTGTATTTAACTGTGCATGGTAAGCTGTGTGCATGATTGAGAGGTCTCGAAAACATGCGCGCATATAGAATTTATTAGGATGAAACAGAAAATTAAAAAACAAAATCAGACAACATGTGAGTTTGCCAAATTAACTGATTTGTTTGTATGAATCCATTTAGGTGTGTAACACATTTCTGTATTCCAATAAGTTATGACAGTTACTTATCTGGCATGTTAGATGTTTCAGGTATTATTTTGTCATTCTCCTCATACTTGTCTGTCCGTGTGTGTGGATGAAACATGTCCATGCCTAGAGGAAGGTATCTAAAAAAAACATTTAAAACAACTTTAAAAAAACTCCTTATTTTGCTAAAACCTTTTTAGCATCAAAGCTAAAAACAAAAAGTAGAAATGAGCTTTGCCAAAAGTACTGACAAAACTCCAAACCATTAGAGAAAAAGTATTTTTTGGGAGGTGTTGCTAATAATAGTACTTCTGGAACATCCTTTTAGTCTTTTGGCCCCGAGCACATGATGTCCATTTCTTCCAAAATAGATTTAAAATTCGGATTGGTCTGCTCACAATGACATTTTTCTTCTGTGGATTGGCCCATCTAAGATAAGTCACAGTCCTGAAATGCTTGTACCGTGTTGGACAACGTAAACAACAGGTTTCTTCTTTTTTTTTTAAAGTGAGGTTTAGATTAACATCTTTTAAATGCAAATGTGATTTAATCTAATCAGTAATCACTGAATTATTGGACTTGATGCAAAAGTTTAGGATAATGTCCTTGCACTTCCTCTGTATTTCTCAATTATATATTATTATAGATTATCATATATCCAAAATCATTCTTTGATGAGCTCTAAAAATAGTCTGTTTTCTAATAAGTTTGCCCAATTAGTTCATGCAGTATTTTAATGTTTGTTTTTAACCAAATCATATTTCTGTGTTCGAAAACAATGTTTTAAAAAATATTTTTCAGGGATATTTCTTGGAATGACAGCCTGGTGCTGCAATGTTCTTTCCATATTTCTTATTAGACTTGCTAAGTTAGGGGTTGGTGAGGACTGGGTTTGGTTTATGTGGTTAGCACTGCCACCTAACAAGGCAGCTCCTGGTGCAAATCCCAGCTGGGACACTTTGTGTGGAGTTTGCTCGGTCTCCCCACATATGCAAGGGTTGTCTCCAAATACCAGATTTGTCTCAGTGTGGCCATGGATGGACCAGGATACACCCTGCCTCTTACCCAATGGCAGCTGGGAGTGGTTCCAGCCCCCCCGTATCCCTGAATTGGATTAAGATGGTACATTAAATAATTGGATGGATGGGTTCAGAATTATCAAATCCCTCAGAAAGAAATTCTTTTGCAGAACATCCAAACTCAAACTTAGCAGTGCTGGATTTGCATTCAAGTGCAGAGAAGAATGAACAAACCTTTAAATTTGAGAAAAAGCAACCACTGCAGAGTGTACAAAACCAAAACTTTCTGAGAAGGACAGTCAATGTTTTTTAGAGAGGTTAAAGACACCATTTCCACTATAAAGTCTGCCCTATTCCCATTGGGATTCACATTCACTCGACTGAAGCCTCAGATCTCGTGACCAGCTTGTCAGTGAACAACTTACAGGTGACTGTGACTTCAGGGGCCTACAGAACGAGTGGGTGGGTTGGAGACTCCACTGTGACCTCAGTCACTCTCATGTGAACTTAATGACTCCCCTAATGTTCCGGCCGCAGCTTATGTAGGTATGAAACTCTCCACCAGTTGGTTAAACCTGCAGACAGCATGTGGATTAGAGATTACACACTTTCAAAGACAAAGCAAAGATGTCCAGTTGCCTTTATTCAATATCTCTTAAAATAAGATGGATGACTGAGCTTTTACACAGTGTTTCTTTATTTCATTTTAAGCGCATTACTTGTCCTAACGTTCCTCAGCCAAGACTTTTTGTTTTTGAATACTGGTGTGAAAAATTCAAATGAATGTTTGTTAACTGATAAAAAGAGTGAGAGTACAAAAAAAGCATTAAAGCAATTTAACTAAAATCACAGTAGATAAATGATAATGTAGCTTTTTTTTTTTTTTACTGAAATCTTCCTCATAAATGACATGTTTGGAGCATCAAAACACAGAGAAGCTTTAAAACTACAATGTAAAGATATAAAATAAGTGAAAGAAATTAATTTATTTGGGTTAAAGACAAGAAACACACGGACTTATGTATCAGTGTAAGATACAACAGTCACATTCTAAAATATAAAACCTTTTTTCACTTTTTTCTTGTCACCACTACACCAACTGAAAAATCTGCTGCTTGTGGACAAATTAATGCATCCTTAATCAACCATTTTTTTTCAACAACCTTATTTTATTCCCCACTGCCTCAAGGTGGATTTTTTTGTTCAACCCTTCAGTGGGGAACATCTGACCATTTCAGTTTCTTGCGAACGCTATGACAATGTTCTGGATCAGACATTTTAAAGAACTCTTTTGTGCATGTTAAAACACTTAACATTCTCAGTATTTCTTCCACCCAGCCTTAAAAAGGAGACTCCTTCCACTGTGACGCTCACATGTCAAGAATTTGGCTCGTGTCACGTCTGCCTGCAGATGTGGCCTGGTGCTGTACAGACACATCAGCATCCAGATTCCCGAGATGTTTCCAACAAGCAGGAATAAGCACATCTGTAGGGAGAGATGTTTTCACCATATTTGCATTCTGCATGGAAAATAATGGATGACAAGCTCACGAGTCAGACCACATTCTGAGATGTTCATCGTATCCGTTCCAAACCAACCGTGGAAACCTATGCAAACGCGACTTCCTATTAATGTGAGCCATTATCAGCACTCATCTCTTTCTCACTGGCTCACTCAAACACACAACAGTATGCCTGGAACTCTGGGACATATTTGCGCTTGCGTGTCGGCTTTTTGCCGTTGCATAACATGCCAGAAGACGTGCAGTAAATAAGGGAGGACTTCCCCTTTTCAGTGAAATCTGAGAACGCAGAAACAGCTTCTTCCCATCCATGTTTACGCGTTCACATGCACTGTCGCATAAAAAAACCCATAACTCAGGGGGGGGTAATTCTGAGGAAACGTTCACACTGCAAATAAGCGACAGACGCATGGCAACCAAACGTGACAGAAGGAAGGTAAAGTGGCTATTTGAAATATGAACAGAATTGAGAGTCAGAATGCTCACCTGGGTCCAGGATAACGTCTGAATAAGTGTTCGGGAACTTAATAATGAATCAGTACTCTGTTTACAAAGATGTTTCCAGGCCCTGAAACTATGATTCTTGAAAAATGAGTCAGTACAGTAATCCCTGTTGGTTCTGACCAAGCATGTTTAAGAATGTGTGTGTGTGTGTGTGTGTGGGTGTGGGAGTGCCGGTTGCTCGGTTGCATTGGTTTCTATCTGTATGTGTGAGTTCACACATGTATGCATGGTCAGCACATATTCCCAGCTGTTTTCCAGGTAGCGTTCTCACGCTTCTTCTGCATCTCCTGTTTCTCACGCTGGCTGCTTTAACTATAATCCCTGGTAACACACACACACACCACATACATATAAACACAAGGACACAC